AAAGAACGACAAAGAACGAAAAAGATCGAAAAAGAACGAAAAAGATCGAAAAGGAACGAAAAAGAACAAAAAAGAACGAAATTAAAACTGATGTTGTATCGAACAGCCCCCTGGGTAAGGTGGTCGTAGTGTCCTGGGTCTAGTTTCAAAGGCGGGTGTAAACATGGCGGCCATTACGGGATGGAACAAGAGAACATTTGACATCCATTAAAACATCCTGCTGTAAAAACCCGTGCAATATGCCTGTCGTACACGGCCTTAGGGAAGATTTGGTAAGCTATTCTATGCATATGACTAGAAAAAACACTCAATTTTCTAGTATTCAAGGCGGCTTAGCCAACACAAGTTAAGCTTAACAGTCTTCTCTCATGTTGTTAACATTTTTCTAGTTTTCTGGAAGAGATAATTTGAAAATACTACAAGTTGAAATACTTAGAGCCACTGGTTTGGCTAAAAAAGATATATTTGGTTTAAGGTAAGGAAATGTTCTCAGTATTTATTGATGCTACTATTTATGATTCCAAATATAACGTCACGAAACTATGCAGACGTCGAGTTGAGAGTTAATTTGTTACAAAACTGCGTACTTTCATATAATTTCATATTTTTTAAATTAAAATGATATAAATTTTACTTCGAATGCTAAAGATTCAAATATTCCAATAATTGTTACTTCGATTTTTACACTATAATAAAGTTCAATAGTTTGTATTAATTATTATTTTGTAAACAGTTCACCGATGATATCATTGATATATTTATACTCTAAATTCTACGCATAGCTTTTGTTGATTTTTGACATATTTTTTAATTTCTTAAAACTGCAAAATATCAATACTCTGAATTTGAAATTCATGTTAGACAAGTCTGCAATCTTATGTTGATAATTTCTACTAAGATTTTGAATTATTTTAATACATTAACTAGATGTTACATAACTTACAGGAAGCTAATATATACATATTATTATATCGTCATTATAATGAACTTTGAACTTTAGCATGTTTTTATGCCTTTTTTGGGGTATTTCTGAGCTCTTATTGCTTGGACATATATATAATGACCTACCAACAACAAAGTATGATACTATGTACTGTAGTTTAAAGTATTGTACATAATAACAATAAATCAGCTCCAGGCCAGCTCAGTTTCATCTTGTTTTGAAATATACTATATTAACATATTAAAGTTTGAAATAGTAATTTTGGGAGGCACGGGTGGGGTAGCAATGAGAGCGCTTACCTCTCACCAATGTGATCTGGGTTCAATCCACGCCAAGCTCAGTGTTGTACAGGTGTATGTGAGTTGAGTTTTTTTTTTTTCTAGTGCTCCGAGGGTTTTCTCTGGGTTCACTGTTTTTCCTCCCTCTGCAAAAATCAACTTCTAAATTCCAATTGGAATTTCAGTGGATGCAGAAGAGCCGCTCTGTGGAAATTCCACTGTTGAATCCCATTTGTCATTGTTATTGTTATTGTTRTTGTTGTTGTTGTTGTTGTTGTTATATTGTTGGGACCTTAAATAAATGTCTCCGACAATGATTTAAAACTGGACATTGTTCACCCAGTTCATTGAAAAAATTAATATTCCCAGCCTTACTTCAAATCTAATATAATCTAATATATAATCTTATAGTGATCCATATTGTAAAATACGTCTGTATAGAGGAGATGTTTATCATGGAAGTATTGCTGTTGTATCAACAGAAACCAAAAAGAAAGTAAGTTTAAGAATTTCAGTATAAATAAGCTTTAATAGAATGGCTAAATTATACAGCTTCTCATTAATCCCATATAGGTAACTGTCCAATTAGTATATGTAATAGGACTCCATGGCTGTACGAGGAAAATTCGGAGGACTGACAAAATTGGATGAGGCCGTAGGCTGAGTCCAATTTGGCAGTCAGAGGAATTTTTCGAGTCTAATTATTTCTTGATTGGGGAGCATGAAATCCCATTACCTTTTGATTATATAGCTACCTAATTAATCCCATATCGACAAGACCTGTCCAATTAAGAAAATAATTGGACAGTTACCTATATGGGATTAATGAGAAGCTGTATAATTATTTTCTTAATTGGACAGGTCTTGTTGATATGGGATTAATTAGGCAGCTATATAATTAATAGGTAATGGGATTTCATGCTCCCCAATCATCTTTCAACCAATGAGAGTGTTCGTTATATCGGAAAATTTCGTATATAACAAACACATATATATATATACACACACATACCTAAGTATATCAACAATTATGGGATATCATCCCTGATACTGTATTTTTTCAGAAAGACCTAGTAGTAGACAACATCCCATAATTGTTGATATACCTTTGATACTTGTATATACATGTATATGGCTGTATACATTTACATGTATATATATATATATATATAATCTGTTATATATTACCCTTTAACTGGTAGTTTAATTGGAATACAATGCACACACAAATCATGCATATACTACATAAGTACATGTTGTATAAATGTGGTTAAATGAAATTTAGGCAAGGTTAGACTCGATCTGTGTAGCAGCGAATAGTCTACAATAACCGCTGTTTGTTGACTGCATGCTAGCCGCCTATATACGCTAAACACACGCTATTACAATCACACACTATACTGGTGATTATGCTAGCATTATCTTTGGTCATCAGCAACGCCGAGCTATTTGATCGGTAATTACCGCGATATCGATCAGGCCCCTCTCATCCCACCGAACAAGCACCAAACGCCAAGCTCATCTACCAGTGATGAGTTTAATACTTAATAGTACATGTAATGTATAATTTTTTTTCTGCTATTCTTCAGAYTCTCAACCCAGTTTGGAATGAAGAATTTTATTTTCGAGTAAGAATTAAACAGTACAGATAAATCTATGCTATAGTATTCATGCTTTGATGATTAATATACATGTATTAAGATAATTAATTAATTTCTATGAGTTAATAATCCTTTATTATAATTGTAATTTCCAGGTAAACCCTATTGATAACAAGCTCCTTATTCAAGTTTATGATGAAAATAGAGTGGTAATATACTTCTTTATATATTTACAGTATATTATACAAAGTGCCTATTTACAGTATTCTTCTGTCTAAGTTATTCTATGTGCCAAAAATGATTGACCTTTTTCATTTCAGACCATGTGTCATTACCTGGAGTCTCCTTTTTTTTGATTCACGGTTGAGCACAAGAAGACAAATAGACATTGATATAACTCAAACAAATAATCTTATACCCAAGAGAATGACACATGGTCTAAAAGGTAGAACCATGCCTTTAACGTTTTGCTTTATTGCAGACAAGAGATGACTTTTTGGGTGAAGTGTTAGTCCCACTCAGCAATCTTCCAGTAAGTATTAACAAAGCTTTTGAATGTAACCACAGTTGGGTAACATCTGTATTACAACTGGGTACATACCTGCTACTGTACTAATAGTTTGAAACCGATTGAACTTTTAGCACTAACATTAGACATTAGCTTACAAGTTCATGTTCTAGAGGAATACAATGCATATATTATTATATAGTAGTGTATTGTTTTATATTGATGTATGTACAGTATTGTCTTGTCTTCTTTTGTCATTCTATTGTTTCTAGAACATTAACAAACTGTACCTAACATTATTTATTCTACTCTTACATTCTAACCAGACAGAGGGACCTAATGTGGATATCTTGGAAACAGATATGAGACTCAAACCAAGAAGGTGATTATTATAATTATTATTATTATACTCGACGAGTTGATGTATACGAGGAATTCCATACCGACTGGGTGGGGGGGGGGGGGGGGAGGATTATGGCTGTTAGGGCCCACATCACCTGCAGTATGGAGTGAAAGATAAGTAAAAATACCATGACAGAGATTTAAATGTAATAATTCCTATTCTGGTTGAGTTTTTGTAAAGGCCCCCATGCCACCCACTTTGGAATATTTTGTATCACATTCCAACATGTTTTTTAAAGCAGTGAAGAGGAATTAAAAGTTGAATTGTAACATTGTTATAAAGATGTCGTCACTCCCAACAATAGCTATGATATCACCATGGATTCACCATACACTTTTGTCTTCTGTCTAACTGTTTAGTAATAGGTCAAGAGTGAGGGGCAGATTATTCTTCAAGATGTACTATAAACAGGGTCCTTTACAAAATGCAGCTGATTCTATACATGAAATAGGTGAGTCCATATAAAAACTCTATATTTATTTCCATCTTTTGATTCTTCATATCCATACTGTATCTCATAGCTAATATGGAGAGCACCCCCATCTACTAGCCCTCATCTAGTACTACCTGGAAAGTCCATAAAATAAAGTACATATTTACCCTTGCATCCCATTTTTTTAATTTAAGGTATCAAGGGCAGACCCAGGGGGATGGAATGGGTGGCTAATTAACCTCCCCCATTTTGAGTTTGAAACTGATAACAATAAATAATAAGGTCAACTCTAAGAAGGTYAATGTATTACGACTTTGTACTGTACTTTGTACCAGCCACCCCCTTGAATTCCTTTAGGATCCATCGCTGCATACCATTGAATATATATTTTCTTGATATGTTTAATATTGTTATTTCATGGTTGTGTGTCATGTACCCAGAGCAACCACCACCACAGGAGCCTATGGACATACTAGAACCACCAGAAGCTCCTCCTCCAATGGAAACAATATCGGAGGTAAGCGATATTACATACCTTAAATGTCTGTTCAAGATGTGATAATGATCAGAGGCATTAATTATTTTGAAGCAAAACAAACATTTGTGATTAATAATGATTCTATGCATTTCTCCAACCCCCCCCCCCCCCATTACCAATTCCTGCCTTTACTCTACCAAGATATCCTTGCATTCTGTGTAAAATGCATAATGGCTATTTTACCAGTTAGATATTCATTTATAACATTCTTCCAGTATCAAGGATACATGTAGTATTGTTGTTGTCCACTTGCCTATCACCTCTGGGGTCTCAGGTTCAACCCTCAACATACATGTATGTGAGTAAAGTTTGTTATGTTTCTCCCTTGATTCAATGGTTTTCCAAAAAGCTAAAAATTCTATGTGGGAGTTAGCTTGCCCTGACTTACAGTAGATTAAACCAGAAGTTGTCTTTTCTTCGTCAAGCCACAAGGAACATGTAAATGATTGATATAATATGTACTGTATAATGAAATGTTTTGTATTAGTCGTTACCAGCTGTTGAGGAGCCGTCATTACCAGCAGGCTGGGAGGAAAGACAAGACGCTAATGGACGTACATTCTACATGGATCATACTACCAGATCAACATCTTGGGTCAGGCCAAGAAGGTATGTGGTACTACATCCATAATAACACTTCAATATTCAGTAATATTCACTTACTTGGGAAGCTTGCCTGTGTCTACACTATGTTGTCAGATCAATGGCTTTTCAAATGTTTTACAGTTAAGAAAAAATGATGTACAGTAGTAGAGTTTGTAAAAGAACTTGCTAAGTTCATTTCAATCTGTAGTTCAGCCATGCCCTGACTTAGATCAGCCCAGAGGTTGTTTCAGGGTTCATCCTGTAAGTTAGCCATGCCCTGACTTAGATCAGCCCACAGGTTGTTTCAGGGTTCTGTCTGTGAGTTAGCCATGCCCTGACTTAGATCAGCCCAGAGGTTGTTTCAGGGTTCTATCTGTGAGTTAGCCATGCCCTGACTTAGATCAGCCCAGAGG